AAAGTAAGCCTCCCTTTTCCCATACATGAACTTGTCATTCAAACACACAATTGATCCACATGCTTTAACTACTGTTTATTTGCACTGTTTATAACATGTAAAGTTATTTCATTTGATACTTAACAAAAGTGAATTTTGTGGTTATCTATGAGTTGCATATTTTTGTAGTTCAAGTACTGTATATATGTCATTCCTCTACTTCGTTAGTGGAATAACGTTTTTAAAACTATCAAAAAATGTTCAATGGCCGTTGTTTTCTGATCTCGTCATCAATCGTCATGTCTACATCCTTTAGAAGAGATGATTAGATGACGAGATCTTGGATCTCGTCATGTGTACATCCTTTAGATGAGATGATTAGATGACGAGATCCTGGATCTCGTCATGTGTACATCCTTTAGAAGAGATGATTAGATGACGAGATCTTGGATCTCGTCATGTGTACATCCTTTAGAAGAGATGATTGGATGACGAGATCATGGATCTCGTCATGTGTACATCCTTTAGAAGAGATGATTAGATGACGAGATCCTGGATCTCGTTATGTGTACATCATTTAGAAGAGATGATTAGATGATGAGATCATGGATCTCGTCATCTGAACATCTGGAAGGTCACTATAAGCTTCCGTACCACCTTCCTACAACCTAGGCCTACCTAGCCTAGCCTATAGGCACTTTTGACAGACAGTAAAATAATACTTAAATAATATTTTATAAATGTACACATACAGGAAGAAGAGATTGCAATAAAACGTTTGATTCGTGAAGGAAACACTAGTTCAACACACTCAGGCTTACTGGAAGACAATGAAATATATGTTAAGGTAAGCCTATGATACTTGGATGGATTTGGATACTTTTTTTTTTTTTGGAGTGTCAATCAAACTTAACAACTGGCCAATCAAAGCATCGCTAAGAATTATGCGCTTGATCCACAAACAAACACGTACGTCCCACAAACGCACATGTTTACGTACGTTTATCTTTTTATGGGACCTTAGAAACAATATCCACGGCACCATGCTTAGCGGAAAGCAAAAATTTAATTTGGATTTTAAATGGTGGAATAACAGTATTATACACTACATGTCACTAATAACTGTAGTATTGTAAGCAGTGGCGTATCTAGGGTGCAAGCGGATGGGCGTACACTCCCCATAAAGTACTCGCCACCCACCTCCCCCGCAAAGTCACCTTCCCCCCAAAAATAACCTCAAATCACCTTATTTGCAGAGTTAGTGCTCCCTCATCTAATCATCAAGCCGCTAACTTACCTTCACGTCCCCATTATCCCCCCCCCCCGTTCCAAGACTCCTACATATGCTACTGAAAATGCTTGCTCAGTATTCAGAATGGTAAGACTTACAAAGTAAAACTATGAAAAGTTGACCAGTAGACAATTAACATTTTCATATTTTTTTTTATTTCATTCTGCTTCAAATTGATTACCAAGGAGATCATTCCAAGCTTGAATTCAATTACCCAACGTGTTGCTAGGTTATCACAAGGGACTAACAAAGTAAGTAAATAAATTAAATTGGCGACCTGTCACAGGGAATTGCATACACAAATAATATTAACATTTTTTCACTGAAAATTGCAATTGCTTATTTTGATTGAAGTAAAATAAAAATTTAGCTTTTATTTTATTATTACCTTCCAGTCAGAGTACAGATTTTTAAAATTTGATTCTATGCTCAAGTTAATAATTTGTATGTTATTGTTACTGCAAAAAAGTTAGCAATTTAATTTCAAAATTATTTTTTTATGAATATTTTTCATGTTCAGGGAAGAAATAATCTTAATAAATGAGTGGTTTTTTTCCCCATTCAATTACATACTGTATCATTCATTATGTTATTGTTACTGCAAAAAAGTAAGCAATTTAATTTTTATATTATTGATATATATATATTATTTTTATATATTATTGATCTGTTCACTTTATATAATCAGTGGTGGATCCAGGTGTCCCCTTCCACACAACATTGGGTACAGAGGTTTTGGCTGATGTTGGGGTAGGGTGGGGGGTGGTGAAATTGAGAATGCCGAAATCCCATTCCGATGCAAACTTAACGATCACTTTTAGTAGTTTAACTTACTTGGTGGAACTTATTTATCGTCATGAGGAAAGGGTTTAGGGGGAGGGTGTGGGCACCACTCCATCCTTCTCCAGCCTATGCCCATGAGATAGAAAATTTGCCACTGATACTTCTGTACTTTATTTCATTAATTTCACGCGTTGTTTTTCATTTGGTTCATTCAGTACTTTACTAATGTACTGTACCAAAATAAAACATTTGACATTTGACCTCATTTCAGAGTTCAATTGACACACCAGCAGCAGGGGAACTGGCAGTAAATAAAGAACCTTTGTCCTGTTTGAGTTCATCTCTCATACCGGACGAGGAATTTTCAGAGGAAGAAGATGAAGACGAGGAGGAGGATGAGGAAGGTGGAAGTTCTCAAAATCTAATGGCACTCTGGAAGAGCATGGGTCAGGATTGAATAATGCATGATTAGTGGAACGACATCTTGGCAAACACTATTTGTGGGCCATACATTCAGAGGAAACCAGCTGGTATTGTTGAAGCAGCAATAGTAAAAGAAACTCTTTACTGGTCTGACAACATGCTTCCTTTTAAAGGTGGTACAGTAATGTATTGTTTTATTACTTTTGAAGCTGCGGTTAATGCCACAAAGAATGAATTTGTTGTCCCAGACTATTGAAAACCAGTTTTTAATATTTAGTATATTTGAAGCAGTCATGGTTAATGCTAATAATCTGGTGGCTAAAATTTTTTTTGATTGAAAAATACATGCCATGCTTAAATGAAGATATAACAGAATTCCTTATTGCTGCTTCACGCCACAATAAGAGCACAAATTACATAACATTTCCTTGCAAATTGCTAACAGTAAACAATCAGTCTATTAGAAACTTCAAGGTTTTCTTTGATGGGGAGTGCATAATGTCAGAACAAATTTCATCTTTATGTAAATCACTCAATTACAACCTCAGAAATATCTCCCAAATCAGAAATTACATACAGTCTGTATTACTGAATTCACTACTTCATGATTCATCTGATAAGGAAAGAAAATGTCTCCAGCTTATTCAGAACAGGGTGAC